GAAAAGAAGATTCTAGGCACAACGCGATGAGATAGCCACGAAACCTACGACGCTATGGAAAATTACCCTGGGCGTTTCTACCTTCAACTTATTATCATTTTTCATGCGCCTGATACGCGGCGTCTGGTGATACTCGCGAAACAACGTCGCAAAGAGGTCTCTCTCTCTCACATATCACGCAGAGAGTAGAATTCGCATCGATATCATACTTCATTAGCGACGACTCTTATCGTTACGTAACGCATCGCACCCGTCGTCGCTCCGATACGGTTCAACGCCCCTAAGTAAGCGAGATCGCGATGAATCTGGGTCATCTCGACGGGTGATTTTATTATATTTTCTACAATCCTATCTCTCTCTCTCTCTCTCTCTCTCTCTCTCTCTCCGTCAAGAAAGCTTGTAAGCGGGAGTAACAGAAAGAACGGCCGAAGGCCTACGACGACGACTGTGCAAATAATAATACGTCCTCATCGAGCGATAGAGAAACTATCTAGCGATCGTGTTCATTCTTTGACGACCTGGTAGCGATGAACGCCAACTTACGGCGCAAAGAGTGCAAAGTTTTCCTTCATTATCATACGCCTCCTAAGAGATCGTATCGCACAATTACTAAGAACATGCTGTTGATTCTTTTTTGCGAATTCGCGTGTTTTTTTTCTGCATGAAAATTGCGTAACACGCGTTACTCGCTCGCATTTATGGCCGGATGTCGCGATGATAAGTCATGCACGAGTATATATCTGCTCCAAGGCGATTTCTAACTAATTCCGCGCGTATCAGTTAACGTTCGTAACGTTCGTGGAATCGCGCGTAACGATTATGAATAAACGTATACGCTGAAAACAACGTGGGATCTGAGATAGTACCGATTTGTACAGTCAAACGAGGCGTATTATTTTTCCTACAGTGCACCGAGTGTATGTATAACCACGAGAGACAAAAAAAAGTCGTGAACAAAGTTGCTGCTGCTCACTGTCGTCACGTGACGAATCTAGCCCNGTGATTCTCACTAGGTTGCAGCTGGTTTCGGTAAATATGCGAAAAATTTTCAGTATTATAAGAATAACATTTTTGTTAGAAATTATTTATTTTTTGAAGGAGTATTACGAATATTATGAGTTTCAAATAATTATTTATAAGTTTTTAATGTATGATATTTTTTGAAACAATCTCCAATATGAAGGAATGGTTTTCTGTTGCACGTTTCACAGAAGTATACTGTTGTTTTTCTTCCTCCAGGCAACTTACGATTAGAACATACTAAACAGTCATTATGTTTTCCTTTAGCATCAACTTGGAGGATATGTAGTTTTCCATCTAATCTCTCCTCATTGTACGTTGTTGATGGCGTTCCATATCGCGCAGTTTCACCTTCACGTAAATTCCCAATTAGTGGCATAACTAATTTCCGAATAAACTTTATATGAGACATTGGTTTACTGTTGTTACGTTTACAATCAGCTTTATACAGAATATAAGCATTCAAGGAGGATACTACAAGGAGTTTCGACAGGTTCCGACTTGTCACCTCCTACGTAACGTACGACCGCAGCGACGAAGTATTGTTGTCACGTGAGAGGTGACTTACGACCGATAAGGGCTAGAATCACGGATGCTACATAATGCGCACGTTGATTTTATTGCGAGTCTTCGCGAACCTTCCACGACCTTGCCGGATCTCCGCCTGTGAGAGAGTCCGGTGTGCCTTCCACATACGTATCTTCTCCGCGCAATCATTGCGACGTCAGTCACGCCGTTTCTCTCGCTCCCTCGCTCTCGCACATTCATTCGTTTGTCTTTCTCTTTCCGCCGAGAGAGATCTCCAACACGCCCCCCTCTCTGCGTTCGTTCGTTCTAAGCTCTATCGGGCTCAAGGCCAGCGAGTTTTCGTGGGAACGTCTCGACCAAATTGTCCGTGAGCCCTACACACACACGCATGAGCGTGTTCGCGCGAAAAAAAGAACACGTCTCCGATCCGGGAAGCCGCGATTTGTCACGACGGAAAAATTCTGCTCCTCGCGACGCTGGTAAACAGTAAATCCCAGCTCGCCCATAACGTCGACCGACGTAAAAATAGAGAAATATCTGATTGCGAACCGCGCTGTTTGAATTGACCGACCTTGGTGAAAGAGTCACCGCCACTCTTCCTCTTTTACTTATCGATTATATCGCGAGGAACTGTAGCTGCGTCGCAACGTCGCATAATCGCTCGGAATACTTGTCGATTAGATACCGCGATCGGACCTTAATTCTGACGCGTCTCTTAGAATTTTGCACAGTGACGTCACGCGACGGATGAGTAACTGCAAAAGCTGCGTTATTAACGGAACACGTCGTCGTGGACGATGATCAGCGTAAAACGAACGTTGGGTACCGACGTAACCGAAACACCGTGGCGCGATGAAATCTCGCTTCGCGGCGGTGGTGTCGAATTTCTCGATAGGCATGTGTAAAGCGCGCGGGAACGAAGGAAAAAAAGTCGAGACGCGCTCGAGAGAGAGAAAGAAAGAAAGACCGAAGTTGCCTCTCCGACGGAGAGAGCCACCCCCTCCATCCCCGTTACATTCCTACAGAGAAGCTCTCACGTTGCCGCCGCGGCTTCAATTTCCCATAGCAACAAGGAGATCCCGCGGCGAAACAACAACGCGGCCGGATACTGCTTATCCGCCTCGAATTTTCCTTTGTCGTTTTTTTTTCGGCCCGACGATTTCCGCGGTGTGATAAGCACAATCGCGAAGGAAAAAGTGGAAAAATCGCGCACGCGACCTAACCCAGAGGTCTCAGAACTCATTAATAATGCGAGTCAAACGCGTCGCTCTTTATGGAAGCGATGAGAGGACGATAGACATATGCCATCGCTTAACACATTAACGGCGGGCGATCTCGACGAAAGTATGCTAGGTAGCGCGGCGGCCGCCCGCCTCGTTTTTCGGCCTAGAGCGGGCGATATATTTTGTGTGATCATAAAAAAATTTAGACTTAAAAAAGTTTATTTAAACTCTTAAAACTACAAGAAATATTAAAAAAGAACTAAACACTAATTACAAAAAATGTTTTAAAGTACATATTTATGAGGAGAATCTAGTATTTTTTAAGAGTGTGGTAATGTTGATAACACTCGCCACGGTGAAGAGGTGCATTGCAAAACTCGCATTTGAAGCAAGTCAACTTTCTTTTTTTATGTGCCGCACAAACTACGCAGTTTCGTTGGGCATATAGCTTTTTGCCTTTATTTTCTATCCGAATTAAGTTGTGCATTTTGATGTCTAGCGAAAGACGTCCAGGCGGATCAATTTTATACCGTGGAGTCCGCCGTGGTGCCGAGTTCGATGTACCACGTTGTGGCTCTTCAATGTCCATCAATTCCAGATCTTCAAGTACAAATATAAAGTGGCGCATGGATTGCAATGTGGATGCAATGTGGTTGCAAACTGTACTAATGCGACTCCCGCCTTTAAGGTACAGTCGAGCTAAATCGTATTACTACGACTCCCGCCTTTAAGCCGCAGTCGAGATAAATCGTAGTACTACGACTCCCGCCCTTAATGTGTTAATATAAAACGATTACGTCCCCGAAGTTTCTAATGTCGAATCGATCGCGCGAGGCATTATTACTCAACTTCATGGAAGCACGGTGCGAAACGTGGAAGAAACGGACCGGTTTCGAAGGTAGAGACCATCGAGAGAGAGAGACCTATCTACTTTTATCTATTCGCCAATCTACCTGCCTACCCACCTACTGATCTTTACACCCACGTGTTTCAAATCATTCGTAACCGCGATTTCGTCTTATCAACGAACGTTATTGATGAAACGCCAGCGCTGTTTCTTCCTGAGAGATTCTCTCAAAAGATTGAGAAAAGTCGCGAGTATACCGATGATAGTAGGGCGCGACGCATTCATTCCGCTTTGCTTTACAGTCCGAGACGCGCGAGCAATAAAATTGATATCCGCTTGCTTTTATTATTCCATCGCTCGTCTACGTTTTCTCAGTTTCGCTCTCCGGTCTCTCTAATGGCAGTCTTGTGTCTGCGTGAAGGAAAAAAAAAAACTACAATGCGATCGGAGGGGGTTATGTACTATTGCTGTTATCGTTTCGCGCGATCATCGTTCGTGTAACGAGATACAGCTCTAGCTAGCTAATCGTCGTTCGTGCTCTTTCACAGCAAGAAACTGGCACGAGAGATTTGGTCTCGTGTTCTCTCCTCGGTCGGTGGTCGCGGAATGTCCTCTCCGCGCGATCTTACTCCTTTCGGAGGAGAGAGAGGCCGCAGCGTCGCGTGTTACGAGGCTAAACGAAGACGCGCCGCGATTACAGAGGAAAGACCGTACACTACTACGTCCGGTGACGAGGTGAAAAGTTCGTGAGAAACGCAGGGGGGAGAGGGAGATCGATGAGGAACGATAAGACGTGAGAGAGAAGAAGCGCACGGCAACGTCTTACGTCAGCCTCGTGTCGCGGCGCTACGTTAAAAACAAAAAGGGAAAAAAAAGGAAGAGAAAAAGATAGAAAGAGATATATGAGGAACTCGAGAATTTATAACGGAAAGCTCTACATGCCCTGACAGAAAATAAAAAGCTCTTTCAGAGACCGTGCTACACTTGAACGCACCGGAATCTAGGTTGAACCACGTTATTGACAGCGAAAGAAAAATAAGCCCCGCCCGCCTGCGCAATAGGCACGTATTATCCACGCGTGCACACCCAACTCTTATCAACGCACTAACTTGTGAATGGGCCATTGTCGTCTGCCGTATTACGAGAGATACAATCACAGATTGAAATTTTCCACGTTTACCCGTGCCCATTCCAAGGAGTGCGCGTTCTTTCGCGTTACTCAGCAAACGCAGCGAGATTTTACGATTAGCGCGCATCATCCGGTTCGCACGAAATATTCGCACGTGACAAACCCCCGGAGCGACCGGCGAGTCAGACCAATTTGCGAGTGCCTATTGTTACGGGGGTCGGAGACAGATGGAAAATGGTGAGGATGAGCCTACCTTGCGAGTCGCGATGGGCTTGAACAGCCTCCTGGGCTGCGAGAAAGACTTCGTCCGTTCCTGGAGCGCCTCCAACTGACCCCACGACACCTCCCGCGTTACTTCTGTCACCAGTAACGTGCCACGCGCCAAGGCCTGCTAAAATAAGGGGCAAGTATCCTCCGGTAAGTTTTATCATTTTACGGCATTTGGTGTGTACGTTCTTTCCGCGATGGTATCGTTAAAAAAAGAATCGTAACGGCAAGTAGTGCCGGATCGTTACAAAAGCGAACATATCTCGAGTACAATTCACGGTTAGAACGCGTCAATAAATATTTACATTCTAGGAACAAAGGGTGTGCTTTATTCGTAAACTCTTTGAAATTGGAACAGAAATATGGGCACAGTGTAAGACCGATCGAGTGATTACGTAGCCAAATACAGGGCTCCACGGTCGAAAAGTCGCACAATGTTCCCTCATACAGCGGGAATGTGCTTAAGAATACATTTATATTATACAATAACACCCCTAAATCGCCCCTATTCACGGCTCGTTACAGCAAGTAATACTCGGCGAGTGATGTGTACGGGCGTATCCCCCGCACACATCCTCCCCCGCAGTCTGTCGTGTACGCGCGCACTTGCACACGTACGTCACATGAATTTCTCGAACAATCTAGCGAGCTTATAAATAGTCTATGCGTAACACTTAAGGAACAGACAAATAATACTGTCTGACAATTTTTCCAGACTATTTAAGTTCAAATATTTCGTACAATCGTTCGTCGTACTTTCAACTCGCACGCGCATCTCATTGGATTATGTGGTGTCAACGACTAGTTCGGAAGTGATTCTTGTCAGAGAGTTTCGATTCGAGAGAGAAAGAGAGAGAGCTTTTTAACGTCAAACAGGTGCGAACGTCGAAGGAATGTGTGGGCAATATGCATGCATTCTACGAAATACGTTCGATCTAAGCAAAACGATCTAAAAACAACACGAATCAGTCTTCAATATTTCAAAACAGAACAGCACCCCGAACAGGCCGTAATCGTTAATAATACCGATGACAGATCGTCGTCGCCGATCGACGTAGAATAGAATAGTGCGTGTGGGATATTTTACAAATAATCGCGGGCATACAGACGCACACACTAAGTCTGTCTAGGCTGGATCAGGGGACGAGGTTGCCTCCATCTCCTCCGGACGACGTTCAATTTTTTCAAATAGAACTGCAGCGTTGAACGATTAATGCCGTACATCTCGGACGCCTGAGTGGTGCTAACCCCCTGTTGCAATATTGCCTCCAGGGACATTTTAACCGAGTCTAAGCTATACTTTCTGCCCTGCTTGTTCGCCAGTGATTTAAGCAACGCGCCTACATCAACGTCTGGGCGCGGCCGCCTCGTGTTTGGCACTTTTTTACATTCGAGGAAATGGGAAGCCCATAGGGCGCCACTACCACCACCACTACCACCACCGTTATCACCACCACCACTACCACCACCACCACTATCACCGCCACGACCACCACCACCACTACCCCAATTCACGCTCGACAGAGACCGCGCTCCCGCCCCCCCACCTGCAACGAGGAAACCCAAGCTAGTGTCGGCCAATTGTCCCGTTTTAACAGATAACAAACAAAACAACGAAACGACTGACTTCGCGACACCAAACTATTCATTCGTTCAAGCCCTTCCTATGTCTACGATCAGCGAAAACGCGATTGTCGACCCGTCATATGTCGCGACTCCCGCCCAAGAATCACTGTCCAATCATACAGACGTGAAAAGCTCCGCTTCGATCCAAATGTGAACTTTTTTTCCTTTGGATCGAAGATTCGCTACTGTCGTTGACTCTCCGCAGCGTGTAATTTCATACAAAGCGCCGATAATTACTAGCCGAGTACCCTGCGTATTCTTACGCGCGGCACCGCGTGTTTAGCAATGCGCTATATTTCAAACGCGCACGTCATTACAATCCGTGACGGCTAAGTGAGAGAAATAAACCCTGCATTCCGCTACGAGGAAACTAAAGTCATAAAAGCTACATCGTAACGATAATTGGAATTACTAAATTACCAGGGTGTTGGGAGGAGTCGTGGGACGGTCCAGCTCGATTGTTGTCCTGCTCCATCTCGTTAAGATCGTTCATATCATCATCTAGCGTCAAATCTTCGACGCCCTCCTCAGGCTCCTCGAGGTATTCAGACTTTGGCTCGACGAGATTATCGCTTGGCTCGGGCTTTTCAAGTGGCAGCTACAGCATATCGAAACACGTTAGAAATCACCGTACCGAAAGAGCTCTTTCCGCAAAATAAACCGCGGTGGAATGTTAAGATGGAATTATCTCGCACCGTTTCCACTCTGCAATGGCGATGATAGAATATGAACCAAGCAGTAGGATGAAGTACGAATTTTTCTCTACCAACGAAGCGAAAGAAACAGTGATCTTGTGCAACAGTTTCTATTAGACGTTGGTACGCGAAGGCAACGAAAACCACATTCTCATCGCATATTTTACCTGTAACATCTCGTCGGCGGGCTTCGTCAGCTGCGTCATCAAAGCTGACCTGCCGAGTGAGTCGGTCGGATCTGCGTGTACTCTCTCCTCCGCCACAGGCGCGATTCCAAGCGACGGGCCACCCATTTGTTGCGGCATGTCGCTCGAATTCGAAGCATCTTGGCTTTCGGTTGTCGTATCGTCACCTACGCTTCTTCTTCGAAGTCTCTTTTTTCTTCTTGGAGTAGGACTTTGTGAGCCTTCCCTGAAATTGAAAGAACAGACGAAAATGTTAAATGTCCTCAAACACAAAAATTGTACTTGCATCTGAAAGCTGTACAACATATACTGTTCTTCTTCAATGTACTCACCTCGAGGAGATCCCTTTCGAAACTTGCGGACTGGCCGTGTCCTCCGGTAAATCCCCCACGGAACCTTGTGCCATACTCTGCCTAGGAACTCTGTTCTTTTCTATCGTCAGACCGGAAGACGTGTGTGGAATGTCTAACGACGGTGCTGTCGGCTGTGAGACGGTTTTCTGTGGCCTGGAGTCTGCCTTCCTACTTTCACCCGTTCTATTATCGGAAAGGCCCCTAATTTGCAGAGACTCAGCGGCTTTCAGAAGAGGTGTTAACTGGTCTTGACCAATATTTACTTCGCCCCTATACATATAATCCATCATCGCCTTCAGTTCATTAAAGGTAACGTCCTTTAATATGAATATTGGATGCTTATCGTAGTGCTCGCTGAGGAGGCCCTGCAACATAAGAATACGCATTCCCTCTAGAAAAACAATATTGAAATATTTCAAGTTCTATTAACATGTATCTTTGATCACCGAAATGCATGTATTAATTGATAGGCTTCTAAAAAAAAATACATTTCGTTTACTCTTGTATGAACACACACATAATTCATACCCAAAATTGAAAGAATGTATAGAGATGTTGAACACACGAGAAACTTTGTATTAAAATTCTATATTACAAAATATGTAAATGAAATGTGTATTTGTCATCAACATGATTGTTCAAAATAATATTTATACATACACATCGTATGCAAATGTTATCTATTTGAAGTGAAGAATCAATATGTAAAATTTTTCTATATTGCATCGTTAAATCGTAAAGTATTGTTTCTAGAATGATAAACAAGTTCAAGCACGTTATTAAATTTTCATAGGGTGGTATATCCAATTGATGCAGTAGTCTTCTCTCTCTCTGCATCCCCACCCACATCAGGGTAAAATCCCAGGGCAAGTGCCCTGGAAATCAGCCATCTTGCTTTCCCTGTATTGATCAAGAGGAGCTAGGAGAGGGGCTTCAGGCTTTTACTCCCCACCCTGCTCTACTGCACCTCATACTCTTGCCCAGGCAATGTTCAACAAGCACGGCCATCTTGTTTCAACTTAAGACCCCCTCCCCGCTTGCTTCCCGTCACTCCATCTCACTCCCTTCCACTATATTTCGTATTGATCTAACCCCACAGAGCCAATGGGACAAAGAAACAGCCGGAAAAGCTTCATGGCATAAAATTACGATTTCGTTTCATTACTATTATTCTCCATTATAATTCTTGCAATTTTGAGAGATAATTATCTATCTTTTATCGACAAGTTTATGACAAAGTTTATGATAAAATTTGCACGATAAGCAGAATCACTGATCAAATTGAACATTATTATAAAATGATAAATAATACCAGATAAATGAACAACACTGCACTCAATAACTTGTGAATAAAGAATCTGACAGAAGAATGAGCGAACTTTTGCCAAACTACATGAATCAATTATTCTTACAATAGGATATAAAATGTAAAACAAATAATCTAAAAATGACAAGTATCACATATAGTAACAACTGCAAAATCAGGCATCTTTTCATCTACTAGCTAACATTTCGTTGAATGAATATCTGTCAGAGCAACAATAATAACAAATTAACATTTCACTCACCTCAAAGTATGGACTGCACGCCGATAGAACTACCTTGTGGGCCTTAAGGTATCTACCTTCCGCTGCCAGAGTACAATCGACCAGCGTCCCGCTTTCGAGAAGTGTGTCGAAATTTTGTACGAGCGTGCTTTGGTGGTTGTTCCACCTGAGGCAGAACTGCTGGTCGTCGTCCATGGTAGTAGTTCTGTCCTCGTTCGTTTCTACACAGGAACAAAACGACGATGCGATGAGGGAGCGTCGTACGAACGTACCGGCCACGAGTGCGGAACACCTCTCTATCACGCTATCGATCGACCGAGCTGGCGCTATCTCGTCCTCCCGCGACCGATTATTATCGCGCACATCGAGCCGGACAACGTATCCGACGCGAAAATACGCGTTTCTCGAGTTATTTTCCTGTCCTGCCTTGTGTTCCAAGCAATTCTTATCCGCAACGCGGCCCTCGCGGGAGGACGACGCAGGCGGAAGCTCCGCAACGAAGCGCCGAAGCTTCCAAAATGGCCGTGCGCTGCAAGCGCGTCGGTCGGATCGCTCTTCTGGCCTTTTCCTTTGTGCGTGTCCTCGTAACGGTAATGGACTGTCTGGTGGGGATGATGCAGGAGGACGCGCAAGCACCGCGCACGCGCAGTTGCGTCCGGGCTGCGCGCACCATTTGCGCAATAACCGCCGCGCAGTGGCCCCTGGGACTCAGGGGCGGCTGCTGCCACCGCCAATGAATCGCGCTGACAGTACATCGCAAAAATTTTCGAGGACAAATTTCGCATACTTCGGTGAGAAATTCACATCAAAGACGTAAAGTACACTTGCGCGAAAATACCAAATGATGATAAGGTCCGATCAAAATTCAATGTCCAAGAATCGCAGAAAGGAAAGTGCCAGAAATATATACCTCGAGATAACGCAACGTGTCTCACGATTCACGCGAATACGAGCTTCACGAGAGAAGTTGTCACTGCAACGAACAGTTGACAGGAAACTACGAATTACGGTGGTGTATCGTCACGACGGATCAATACGCGAATTTCCATCATGACGAGAGATCGGCGATCCTCGCGTCGCACCGCCCGAGGCGCCGATGAAACCGGGACAGGTTTAACTTGATTTGCGTCAGCGCAATTTGCATTAGCAAGGCTCGTAATAAATACGGAAAATCGATCACGCGGTACTGACCGACGAGGGTGGGGAACGTTGAGAGCTGGACACTTATTGCAGCAGGGGGAATAAAGCCGAGGTACGCAGCCGCGAAACATAACCGTCGACAGAGAAAAAGAAAGAAAAGAGAGAGAAGAGGAAGGGGCGCGAGAGAAAGAAGGAGAGAGAAGAAAGAGGAGAGGGAGAGAGAAAGAGACGCACAGAGAGCCGTTCCTCTTTCAACCTACGCGCGATTGCGTAATCTATTTATATTGTTATCTCGCGCGAGAACGCGTTACGTCACGCGGCGCCGGGCGACAGCATGTGTGCGCACGAAAACAAATTGTTGACAGATAATTTTTCCGATTGCATTAGACGCGCGCGCGCACTCGTTCCAGCGAGTGTGCGAATAGAGATAGGGGACACGTCGGGAGAAAAGGAGGGAAAAAAAATTGGAAGGGGAAACATGATGCGACGGCGATGCTAGGAGGCCTTCTCGCCCCGCGCCGTCCCTGGAAACCGCAAAAACGGAGCACGAGACGTGGATCGCAATATGGCGGTTCGCGAGGTCGCGCCCGGACAAAATGGCGACGGGTGAAAAGCTCGCAAGGGAAAACCGTGGCGCGATCGATGTTCGCGAGCGAGCAGGCGGGTGTGCGCGCGCGCGCACACATACACACACACACACACACGTCGACCGAATTCCCCGCGCTGATGCGTCGCGTCTGGACAATGGCACTGAAATCGCAAACGGCCGCCACTTCACGCGGGAAATTCGCGCTCTCCGAGCCAGGCGACGAGAGACTCTCGCGAAAGCTTTCTATCGTAAGTATGCGTCGCGCAAACAACGGACCCGCCCGACCGCTAGAGACCACCCGCATACCGCGCGCGCGCTGCGACTTCCCGAGGACACGTTCGCCGCGTGTACGGTTAATTGCGCTTGAGCTCACTCACCCAGTAAGGAGATATAAAACAATCTAATATCACAGCAGTGGAGTTGGTGAAAAACGGGTAAGACGGCGTGGAGCGTCCCCAGGCCCGGTGCGCGCTTCGAGCGCTGTCCTTTTCAACAATGGCGTAACGCAACGCCTTCTGGCTCGAGCGGCACCGCGTACGCCGTCAGGCGGCGCACGGATCTCGCTCAAGAGGAACGCGCCTCGCGAAACGAACGAGATGGAAAAGACAGGAAAGCGGCGCGCATGCGCGCCGTTCGGAAATTCACGACTGCGACGTGATTGAGAATAGCCCTGACGACGCGCTCGGAGAGTCGACGAGACGCGATTTCCAATCCGACATTTCGTCAGAGCGGCGACTCATCGTCCGATCCCGCCACGAAAGGGATCATTCCTCGGCCAGGAAATTTTCAATTCCCACGCGACGGGCGAAATTACTTTCGCCGTTAAGACGTACGCTCGCATGTCCTTCGAATTTATCATGTACAAAGTAACATTCAAGTAAAAATCGATTATATTTATATTTAAATAGAAATTTATATAGAGCTTCTCTCACACATACACATTATATTTTAAAAGAAATCTTAATCGAACTTTAAAAGAAAAATCTTAATTGAACGATCAGTAATAAAAATGAAACAAAACAGACCATTGAAAAGAACATGCTAGAAGGTCGATTGGCTTACATGATTTTATCTTGACTTGGCTCGTCTTGTAGACAGCGCTCTCTCAGTCCACTTCCCTCAAGAATGAACTACTCATTTTGAATTTCATTCAAAACGTTTGACACATTTTTTTTTCACCAATCACGATTTCTCAACTTGTATTTTATTTTCTTATAAACATAGGCTACTCTTAAAATCAATTGTACGAATGTGCGATGTTTAAGCGTAAGTCTACAATGAGCAGTAAAAGTATGTTTATAAAGAGTAAAAGTAAGAAATTAACCAATTATAGTCGATTATTCTCCTTACATTCGACTATGATTGATGAATTTCTTATTAATTTTTTTTACTGCTTGTAAACATACTCCTACTGCCCATTGTTGTTTTAGAAATTTTACTCAGAAGACATTAGTTTAATTCTTTTCCACGTTATGTTTTTACCATTTCAAATAACTTTCAGTAACTCAATGTGAACTTTTATTTTATCGGCAATATTCAAATGCAGTTTTATACACAAGTCACTAGAATAAATTAAAGTTGAGATCGGGAACTCGTTTAAATATATTCCGGTCATTCACTGTGGTACAATAAAAGACCCTTAACAGGGGCAATGAAACGGTGATAAAAACTACTGATGTTACCGGCCAAGGACTACAGGTCCTTTTGTATGCTCGGTTTATTACCTGCGATCTTTTACGTAATTTCTAAAACGTAACACGCTCTCGTCGCTCTTGTAACGTACCGGTAATCAAAACAATTTCGTCCCAACGAGTCTTATCGAGGTTATCTTAATGCGAAAAGGACATTTCACACCGTCAATTTCTATGAGACTGGGAAATTTCACGCGGAATAATCATGGCGGAAGTTCTCCTGTTTTTCGTGCCGCGTTATATATTCCAACAGTCATGGCTGACGGCGATTTCCCGAATCTCTCACCATTTTACACGCGTGACCTCGATCGTTTCTTTATCTTTGGCGATCGTCTATTAAGCGAAATATAATGTAATCAGGCGATAACATTGCTTGACACAGCGCGGCAACAATGCAGGCGGCGCGCTCGAGTAGTGCATAACCCAGCGCGAAATACAACGAAAGCTCGCAATGACCGCGATAATCGCGCACGCGATAGCACGAACTTATGTAATAAAATCGATTAACTCCCTCACGCCGAAGTGCCCGACACACAAATAACAAGCCAAATCCGGCAGAGATGCAATGGAAACCATCGGGATTTGCGAACAATCCCACTTGTGCGCTGCGTATCTCGCATCGGTCAAATGTGCGTGCTGTCGCAACGCACGACTTGCTCGGCATTATTGTCGGGTCGACCGGGGTGTTTGTCAACTCCACGAGAACGAGAGAAAAAAAAAGGAATACTCGCGCTTGGCCGTTAATTCGCACGGGAAATTCGATACTCGTTTTCGCTACTTTGCGTCGTACCGCGTGTCGAGACAAATTGTTCTCCGGTGTTCTACGTGCAAATGTGCACACAACGTCCGTGCGAACGTGCCACTTGGAGATGCCGCAAAAGACGAACACCGGCGCGCGTCATTTTTATTAGACGATAACCCGTTTAAAGTGCAATAACCTCCGCCTGTCGTCTATCTCACTCGAAGCTGCAGAAGCGGTAGCTTTCGAGTATTTCGCGCGATAGTTCGGATGATACAGCGCGAACGATCTTTCCGAGAGCAAACCTGTTAAAAACTTCACACGAACAAATGCCGCGTCGTCATCGACGTCATAAACCGGCCCAGGCTCGCGACCTGATACGCGTTGCCGTAATGGCCGACATCATGTTCACGGGCGCAACAAAATGGCGAAAACTCCCGAAAAAGCTCGGAAAATTCGGGCATGCCGATCATCGCGGGTGTTTAGGGTCGAGCGTACCGGGCGATTTCGCGCGGGAGAAACGACCGATTTTTCACGACGCGTCGACGGAGACGAGCGAGAACGCAGGAGAGAGAGGGGGAGAGAGAAAGAGAGAGAGAGAGCATGGCGGAGAACGACCTGATTTTCCCCGAACTTTCCGCGACGTTACAGAGCGTTACTGCACGGCCACGACCGGCCGACGGCGGAAACCAGTGTCGCAATTAGTAGAGAAGCGTGTGTTCTTACTCACCTATATTGGCACAGTCTAAATATCACAAAGGACGAGCTTGGTCAACTACGCGCCGGGTCCTCAGCGTGCACTATCCGAGCGTCATGGGTCCTTTTTACACAATGGCCGTCCGCCGCTACGCGCTCAGTCGATCGATCAGTTTCTGCGAGCGGATAACCGCGACCCGCGGAAACGCTCGCCCCGTCGTCAGGCAGACGCGGCGCAGAACGCGAGAACGCGACTTGTGCGCATCGAGGGGCGCTAACGGTGGGGACACAGAGAACGGTCGAGCTGCTCACTGCCGGAGCTACCGACGCCCTGGGAATGAGCGATGAATACATTTTTTTATCTAGAACTAGGGAATGGGGAGAAAAAACTAGGAGACGTTTCGGCCAATTTTTCTAAAAGCGAAGAGAAAGCAATTGTGAGATACTCGCGTTTAACCTTTTATATTTCTTACAGCGAGAACGGATGCGACGACAGGTATCGAAATAAATAATAATTAAACTAAATGAAATTATATAATTGCATTAAATATATATTAACCCTTTGGGTACATTTGACGAGTGAGACTCGTCATCTGCTTACTTGGGCATAAAATGTATTACTTTTACATATTAATCCATATAGCGACAAATTAAATCCGTCCCATGGGCATAAAAATCTTCAAATAATTCAGTACTCAAAGGGTTAAAAGTATTAAATATTTAATTTATTTAAAACACTTTCGTACATTTTATCTTTATACATAGTTGTTATACTTGCAAACAAGAAAACAATAGGACGACTTTGAACCTTTTAAACTTTTTGCCATATTCATGGGATATTTTATATAAATAGCTTTGCTGGTAAAAATAAGCTCTTTATTGAATCAACTGTGTGAGTATGTGTGTGTGTGTGTGTGCGCGCGCTGTGCGATTCACATTACGATTAGAAAAATATATCCGCTGTAATTATACAGATAGGGTCACAGAACTAGAACGTGCTGCGTCTTTTTTTTCCGGAACAGCACGAATTCAAACACGGTGAGAATCGAGACAATATACTATATCCGCGAATAACCAAATCAACTTTTACGTGGCGCACGTGTATCCTGCTACACAACCGCTCATAAATTGAATCGTTTGTAAATTAGGAATCAGTCGCCGTTGCGGCTTTCCTCCGACAAATATTTCAACCCTTTGAGGTAAACCAAACCATGCTACGTGAAATTCCAACGAAACAAATCGAATAACAACATGTCTAGAGAGACGTATGATGCTTCAATAATTACACCTTCAATTGCCCGTTTTCGATTTAACGAACAAATTCATACTTTTCAAGATTCATCGACGACAATTTTTCGATCATCCTGCATAAACGCGCACGTAATTGAATTCAAGCTCGCGATAATTGCATACCTGCAACAATTGGAGTCATCTCCGAAATCGAACGCGGGGCCACAGCAGACACACACCGATAGATACGGCTCTGCGGCCCGACGGTCTACCGTCACGGTATTGGCCGATTGGTGGGGATAGCGCGGCGGGGGTAAAAAGCCAGGTTTCCGTTCTAGGGCGCGTTCGCGGCGTAGCGCAGCAGAGGCGGGAGAGGCGAAAGGCGACGCGCGGGAGAAGTGGAAAGCCGGGAAGAGAGAGCCGACGAAGGGAAGAATCGGGGTCCACAACAAAATCGCTTAATCGCTTTGCGCCACCGTCCGCAACGGAGCACGGCCCGTCCGCCGCCATCGCGCAGTGCCCCCTAGTGTGCATGTATGTCCCTCGCTCTCTCTTTTTCCTTCTCCTTCTCGCTCTCTCCTCTCTCTTCCCCTTTCTTCCTCGCTCCCTTGCTCGTTCGCGCTCCTCGTCTTTCTCTCTCTCCTCCTTCTCCCGCTCCCTTTCCCTCTCCCTTCCTCTCCTTCTCGATCTCTCCCGCTGTCTCTGTCTCCCCGTGATTCGCTATGCCACTTCGGTCCGCGACGTTTTCACGGGCAATCCGTGAGTGACAGCTGCCAGTGGCCCAACACGGTGCGTGCGTGCGTGCGTGCGTGCTTCTCGCGGCAACTGACACGACGCGCAATACCGGCCGGTGCGTGCGTGCATGCCTGCGTGGATTGCTCACGTGCGTGCGTACGTGCGTGCGTGCGTACGTACGTACGTACGTCTGTCGTCCTCGTTATCCTCTCATCGTCGTTGTGAATAACGCGAATATAACGTTCGACGACACCGACCGTTCGCGCCCGCGAACTCGTGTGTTTATTATCTGATACGGCGAAAGTGTGTGTCCACAACCCCCCCGGGACCTTGGAGCCGCCGCCGATTTACCCGCGCGGATCGCCGTTGCTCTTGGCATCGACGCACTATTTTCTTCTGCTGCTGCGTTTTGATTTGTGGGTCAGGTCATGGTAAGGTGAGTAGCGCCGTGTCACGATCATGCATGCATTTCCACGAGACATCATCGAGTTCTCTCTCTCGCTCTGTGCTGGCGTCATTCGTATCTCTCGCTTCAACGACGAACCTTCTCTCTCGTTTCTGTCTTTCGTGACATTCCGTCCGTCGCGCGCGTCCTTTTCTTTTTTTCTTTCGAGACACCCGGCACCGGCACTCCGATGTCTCTCGAGACGATTATTACGGTTCTCGATACTAGGACAAACGTAAAGAGCGAATATTACGGGGACTGGCGTGTCGGTGCGCGCGGCCACAATGCGCGATTTTTTTCTCTCGATTATCAGGCAGCAGCCACGTGCTTCTTGGACGCTTCGCCAGTCAATGAAGCAATTGCGAAACGCGAATGAGCGACACAGCGCTCGGCGTCGCGGTTTACGCGTAAAATTCTGCATGCTGATGTCACCTTGCGTTCTCGTTATTAATTAGTGGTCGTCGCTTTGTCGGAACTTTCACCTGCTTTAGTTTGCATTCAGTTTTGCGTGGGACAGCTTTATCCCAAATTGTTCTAATTTTAAAATCAATATGATTCCAAATATATGGTTATTTAAAATTTTCAAATAAAAGTATATAAAAAATATATATATATGTACATATATATATTTTTTTTTAATAAAATTAATATAATTAATATATATTCTTTATAAAAAGATATATATATCCTTTTACATAAACTAAAATAAAATATTTATATGAATAAAATTCTTTTAAGCCTCTATCGCGAACCGTTTGAAATTTAGTCTATTCAATCATAGAAAAACAGATTCACGAGAGAAAGTTACGATTTATAAAACGAGATATGCTTACGAACATACGAAAACTTAGAACAGTATTATTGAGTAAAGTTATCGATGATTCAGAGAAATCGTGAGCATCGTGACACGAATCGATACGTTCAGTAACAATCGACTTAATTCGCGAATTAATGTTTGACGCATTCGCAGTATGGCGCGGCCATACTAGGTAGACACGAAGTGCCACGCGATAACGGTTCGGAAAGAGAATCCGGCCGGCGGCCGGTTTTCCTTGTTTTCCCCGTCGCGACGAGGCCGCATTGTTGTTTTGACTTCGGGACACTCCGGCAGCGGTAAGCGTGCGGCACAGCTGGACAGTACGTGAACGCACGTAGGATCGCACACGCGACGCGATCGACGATCCGCGGTTGCTTCGTTTAAACGACCTATCGCGAACGAGGCCGACGAATTAAAACGCCGCGGCACACGGTAGCAGCGCGCGCGCCTCCGTACACCACGCGGTTTTCGTCCGTTCGCGCCGCGTGCACGCTCGAAACCGCCGTGTCACCCATTACGGTAGGTCACGTGCGCGCAATACCGTCCAATAATCGGCGATTACGAATGCGCGGGACGCGCTCAGATGCAAATGGCGACCGAGCGTGAGAGTTTACACGTCGTTAGCTCCTCTCGACGGCCTGGCTACCTGTCGTGGCGAAATTACGCGGATGCGATAAGCTTTGGGTAAGTTTGCCCAGTATCTCATTTCCGTAAAGAGGTGTCCTGCGACGACGAAAGATTCTGAGATCGCCTGCGACGTAGACTGAATGGAACTCGAGTGATGTCGCAAATTGTGACGTTACCCGCCGTTCACTCGTAACAATCGAATCAGTGAAGAAAGAAGATAGATCACAGTTAAAAGTATCTTGAAACGGAAGAATCGAAATTCACTAGTCGCATTGTAGCTTCCTTGTTTGCGACTAGACAAAACGGTAATTTAAAAATGTATGAAGATTAATTTTATCAGCATCTCATACAATCGTGGAATCTCTTCCTAGTATTTACGGGCAATTTAAAAGTCAAGGAGTTTAATGTCACTCTCTCTCTCTCTCTCTCTCTCTCTCTCACTTACCAGTTTAACTAATTAAACGCTAAAGGTTAGTGACTCAAGGATCAACATTTCCGAATGTCAAGCATCACGACTTAGCAGAATGTTCCGAATTTTTTCATCATCGTTAACGCAGTAAATTGAGTTTGTCAACGATATCGGAAATATCGGCGTTATCGATATTGATCCGCGCCGCGGATCAATAAATTTCCGATACTAATAGCTTATATATATCTCATCCAAGTTTCACCCATATGTAACGAGGCTCCGTATATATATTGTTGACGAGATCGTCGTGGTCGTGTTTCGCCGACACGTTGCATCGCGTGTCGATCGCCGTGCGTGACACGGCCGACGAAAGGCTCCGAGCACTCGTTCATCGTGCGTGTACGCGTGCGGTAAATGGGTTTATCGGTAATTAATTGATCGTCAAAGATGAGAAAATCGCAGATGATTGATAATGACCGATCGGCGAAGTTTCGCGGTTGTATTATCGCACGTCTACGGCGCGCGTTTCCCCATTTCTCCTCAGACGATAGAAATGACGAATTTTGTCACGTCATGTAAGGATTTGGAGTAAGTTCAAGAATGTTTGGAATTTGTAACTGTTTCTTTTTTTATCGATATTTTCTTCCGTGACTTAATTAACCCGGCAATTGTCATCTTTTATTTTACGTAAACGATCCTCAATTAAAAATCGTTATTATTAATCAAATATAGCATATTATCGACTGTTCTATGATCTATTATCATTTGGAGACATTATAGATGTAGATTCACTCACCACTTTTTGAAAGAAATGAAGAGAAATCCAAAAAAATATTTAAAAAACGAAATAAGCGCATTAAATGTCTTATGACAGTATTTCGAATGAATGAAAATATCTATTTAAAAAACACTGTTTTTTATAGGATATTTAAAATTTCGTAAAGAATAATTATTAAAAAAGATTGGAAATACAGCATTTATTTTATAAGAATGTAAACTAAGACTAAATCGCGGTCATACGGAGTTACTAATATTTACTCAGGATTATAAAAAATTATTTATTTTTATATTTATTGTATTATACAAATGTATAGCAAATATTTTGTACGAGAAGTATTTTTTAACAAAAAAAATGATAAATTTTTAAGAGTATAGTTATTTTTTACATTTAACACTATATAAAAATGTAATTTAAAATATTCGTTTCATTTATAATAAATTTTAATGTTAATACAATACATGTTAATTATAAACAGTAAATATAAATATTAGATATTTAATAATTGCACATTTGCCTATTTTTCTGGACATTTCTATCAGTAAATATTAGGTGTGATGTAAATGTTGCTTAATATTTACTGGGTATGGATATACATAACCACTTATTTAAACTTATTATTATCTTGTATTCACAATATGAACTCTTACTATATTTGGTTAGGCACAGGTTGAGTCTCTAAATGTCCAAATGAAAGGTAGGTATTGGTTCATGATCAGCAAAAAAAGCCCACTGTGAGCTTCATTTTCTGACCGTTGAGGTCTAAAATGACTCCAGGGGCTATTCCCGAGTTAATACGTTCACAGTCGCGTAAAATAATACTTACACAGTACAGAATTTTGTGTAAATAACGGTCCACTGAAGTTTTTGTGTTACTTTAACATGGGAATATGTTAAAAAATATACAGATATATGTTAAATTAATATATTCACCTTATTAAAATAATACAAAATACAATTTCAATGAGCTGTTATTTACACACAATTTTTTACTACATCCCTCGTTAAACTTTCCTTTTTCAGGTCGTTTCATATATTTTTTTTTATTATTTAAATATAATTTCTAAAATATGTCGTATAATCATATGTATTGGTGCCAAAATACCATGCATATTACAATTATCACATAAACGCGATCCACGTGGTGTAATTATCATTTTTTTTAGATTTTCTTTTAAAAAATTCAATTCTATAAGTTAACTTTGCAAATCTTATTATACAAATAATAATGAAAAGTTTGATATAATATTAACAAAAAATTTCATCATTAAAGTTATTACATTTTGCAGAGATTGTGAAGATAAATATATAAATTATATTTATGTTTAATATGTTTCATTATAATACATTGCAATATACTGTTTTAATTATAAATGTTTTATTCGAAAATATATTGTTTTCATTAACAATATAGTATTTCAATGTAAAATATTAACAATATTAGAATTAAAAATGCTTTTTCCGGTTCTGTTGCATAAATTATATAAATATACAAAAATTTCTTTAAACAACCATATTTGTTCTGCAGCGCATCTTGAACGTCTATACGTATATTTTTTTCTTACTACAAAATAATTGATTTCAGCAGTTTTATCAAGATTATAACATATATATCATAAGTAAAACTATTGATCTCGATAACGAGGGACGCTTGCGACTCACGCGGCGTGAATAGAAAGTCGTTAAAAATCAGTTCAGCACAACGAACGTATAAAAATTTTAATTCTTTTGGACGAATATAGAGTGAATCGATAGTGTTGCTAATAACAAATGGGATTCATAATATAGCTTCTAATATGATTTTCTATGTTGCTTCTGAACGAGATAATAATTACAATAATGAATGGAGAAAAAGAGAGTGAGAAGGGGGGAGGGGGGACATAAATTACACAAAGTTAAGAACTCAAAGAGACGAGTTTTAATTGAAAATAAAAGCGTTGAGACTTCAGACAATGAAAAATTATATACGGAATGATGCCTCCCGTGTGTGATATATTATTAAGTTGAAACATTTGCGAGTAGATACAGGTACAATATATTACACACATCTATAGCATTTATAGGATTAATTCTAATCTTTCATCCTGCGAATATACTTCGTGCATCCCGAGATTTTCTCTGTGCGCACCAAGCAACGGTTCGCCTATACATCGCACTCGCGCGCCGCCGATGATAAAGAGAAATGCTGCCTAGAAAGCAGGTCTTGACTGAATCTAGGCCACCCTGATGATGGCGCGTGCACATTCTCCACAATTTTACTGTTCCTTCTCTCAGTCCTGCCTCGCGTTCGTTCCCCGCCGTTCGATAGAACAACACCTTTTCTCTTCTTTCTCTCTTTCTCTTTATCCCTTATCTCTCTC